CACCTCTCTCCCCACATCGCCCATAAGACTGTCCCATTTCTACCGGAAACCTCCACACATATAGGGGGTGTCTGTACTCTGCCTTCTCCTGAAATGCAGGCTATGAAGGAGTATGTAGAGTCTTCTCTCACTGCTGGGATTATAAGACCTTCTTACTCTGGAGCAGTATATTTCTTTGTGGGAAAGAAAGACAAGTTACTCCATCCCTGCATCGACTACCACTGACCCACCACCATAACCATCTGGAACAGGTACCTTTCTCTCTGATTTCGGCTGTCTTTGAACTATTACAATAGAACTAGTACCCCAGTGGAAACTGTCTATTTAGATATGCCGTTTGGACTCACCAAATCACCAAGGTGTAGATGGACAACAAATAGGCGAGAGTGGTCCACTCCTATGAACTGGTTATTGGCTGCGATGGGAACCTTCCCTTCTGCACCTTCTACTCCTGCAAACTCTCCTTGGCTGAAAGAAATTACAGCATAGGTAACAGAGAACTGCTGGCCATTAAGGTGGCCTTTGAGGATCAAAAACAGCGGTTGGAGGGGTCGGCGCAACCATTTCTGGTGTTGACAGATCACAAGAACTTGGAATATCTCTGCACAGCTAAAAGAGTAAATGCAAGACCGGCCAGATGGGCTCTTTTCTTTAACAGATGTAACTTCACAAATTCCTATTGTCATGGTTCTAACATTGTTAAACCTGATTCTCCGTCTCTGTCATTTATGACCCCAAAGCCTCTGTTCCCATCCTGCCGACCTCCTGCCTCATGGGCTTGGTCACATTGGAGGTAGAAGAAGGTGTCAAGCTAGCTGTCACTGACATTAATATACTGGCCAGATGGCCTCCGAATCGGCTGTTTGTTCCCTCTAACCTTTGTTATCAGGTAATTTACTGGGCTCACTCCTCTCCCTCTTCTGTCACCCCGGCCTCAAGACAACACTGTTCAAGGTGGAAAAACACTTCTGGTGGCTATACATGGAGAAGGAGGTGGGGAGTACGTACAACACAGCCACTTTCAGTTCCTCACCCGTCTGGTCAGACATTTCCCTGGACTTCGTGAATGGTCTGGTCTGGTGGTGGAACGAGTCTCCAAGATGGTGCATTTTGTCCCTTGAATTAAATTGCTATCTGCCAAAGACACAATGGGGATCATGCTTTCTTGTGTGTTCAGACTGCACAGACTCCTGAGAAATGTGGTGTCTAACTGGGGTTCCCAGCTTATGTCCCGGTTCTTGAAGGTGTTTTGCTCACTGTTGGTGAGAAGACGGAGAGGCTAAACCAGGAGTTGGAGACTGACATCCTGTGACCCCACCTTCTTGAGTGCACAGCTCATTTGGATTGAATATGCCCACAGCCCCCTGGCTTGCTCCTCCACCAGCCTCTTCTTCTTCTAGGGCGCTTATAGCTACCAAGCACCCTTGTTCTCTTGCCCTGGAAAGGAAGGCGCCCCTTACCCAACATTGTAGGCACCAAGACCCGCACCCAACAGATTCTTTTCAGAAATGCCGCTTGCTACAGGTGGGTGGTAAACCACCATTGGTCTGTTGCTCCAATACAAGGTGGACGGCAAGGTGTGTCTCGTCACCCAGGACCTCCCTCTTCGCACTGAGTCCTGTAAGTTGACTCCATAATTTGTTAGATCTTTCTCTATATCAAAAGTTATTACTCCCTCTGCTGTGAGGTTAAAACTCCCTAGAGCCATGAGAATTCACCCCACATTCCTTGTCAGCTGGGTCAAGCCTACTATGGAGAGACCATTGATGCTGGCCACTTCTCCTCCACCCTGACTCATGGATAGTGGAGCAGTAAACATAGTCAGGAAGCTGCTGGCTGACTGTCACTAAGGACGTGGTTGTCAGTACCTTGTGGACTGGAAGAGCTACGGCCCTGAGGAAAGAACATGGGTTTTCCCCAGCAACATTCTGAATTCATCTGTAGTTTTGATTGCCTTCACCCTGAGGACCTTGAGCAGTCAGGTCTCGGCTAGTTGGAAGGCGTGTTGGCACTCCTAATTTGATCCTGCTTTTTGGTCATGTGCTACTTACTTCCTGTTGTGTTTTGGCACTTCCTGTTGTTTGTTGTACTCATACTTGTATTGTCGCAGGTGTTTTTGTGACCCAGCCTGTTTTTGACTATGAACTTGTTTTTGTAATTTGAATACTTCTGCTTGATTACTGTTCCTAATTGTGCAATAAATGTTTTGGATTTTAGTAAGCCTCCTGAGTCGAGCATTTGTAATTCCAGTCCTGCTGGTACTTCTGTGATATTAGCACTAAGTTGTAACTGGTCATTGTACAAAGGTAACACTCACCTGTTAAAGCTCGAATATAGCAATAAAGTTTAAATATGATCCCAAATGGACCAGTTGGGCCCATGCCATGCCAGGCTGTATCCTGAAAAAATATTTATAACATTTAATTTTGTCATTTGAATATAGTATATTCACTGAAATGACTTCCCATTCTATAAACACAATTTGCCAACGTATTCACAAAACAGAATTTAAATTATTAAACATGAAAAAACAGGTGAAAGTCTGATCAAATGTCAACACTTAAAATTGTGAAAAGATTGTGTAGAACCTCACTTAAGACTTTTACTGTGGCCAGAAAGCATTTAGGGACACAAGCCCTGTCATTAATCTGGTAAGTCTACAGAGTGGGAAACATAGAGAAAGTGAGAGTAAAGCGACACTTGTGAAATATTTTATTTACTACAAAGAGCCGCAATACATTGTTTTTACATTTTTACATTAATACAATTATGGTTATTGATCATAATTTATAGTTATCAGGTTTCCCTTGTAGTTACATGACAGTGCAGTTGATCCAAAGCATCTGAGATATAATTCTACAGAAAACATGATGTGGTGAGATTGCATAATTAATGTTAGACATAAAGAACAAAAAACAAAAAAACTAACAAAAAAACAAGTGACAATAAAAATGAATGAGAACCTATAGGATTTACATGTGAAAATACTAGGATTGTCTTTACCACTACAACTGTAGTAAAGTGTTGCCAATAGGATAAAGCCCATGACTTGAAACACTGACTAAAACCTTGCAAAGATGCCAAAGAACGAACTTAAAATATTGAGTATCCACACTTTGAACAAGCTGGATCTAAAGGCACAGCTACTTTAGCTTGAATTTTTCAAACTGTTCTATGTAGAATATTTTTGGTCATTGTGAAAATTCATACAAAATCCCTTATCCCCGACTGGATAGGAATGTTGCCAATCTTGCTTAGAGACTTGAGAGAATTCTCTTTGCATGCACTGATGTTTGCGTTCCAGATTTCAACACAAAAGAAGGGATTGTTGGGAGGGTATTCTATGTAGTGCAACATTTTCTCCTAGCCTCTTCCCTTACTCACATCATATTTTTTGACAACCCTCTCACCCCCTCCCACCCCTTCCCCCTCCCTCCAAAGTGCCCTTCCATTTTTGTTAATCAAAATATATTCACACAATCTCCTCCTCCTCTCCAGCAGGATCTGAGAGGCTGATTGGCAATTTCAGCAGCAAAACCATAGTTCAGTGGAAGAGATGGACGCAGCCAAACTGAGAGAGCTCCCTGCCGTTGCCATGGTAATGTCTCAACAAGAGGGGTGAGACCTGAATGGGGGGGGGGGAAAGATATGATCAAATGTGAACACTCCATTCTGATTTGATATACAACTCACAGTTTGTTATTACCACACTCTCCCGCTTCTATTTGCTGTTCAGGCACACGCACATGCAAATTCACGTGTTTAAAAAGCATATGCACACACACACACAGGCTGACTCTTTATATAGTAACAAGCAGCATCTGCGCCTCGCTGATAACACTGCCTCATGGCAGTAAAAGCATATGAGAGCGGACTGTTTGCTTGCTCCTTTTACAATGGCTAGCAGCAGGCCTAACTGTCTCCATCACACACCCTGCTGACTTAAGCATCTCATCATCATCATCTTTGCTCTTCCCTCTCTACAGATCTGTCTGGACTTAATAAAACTGTCAGACCACCAACTGGGACTGTTAAATAAAGACAGCATGAAGGCTAGATCTGCTGTCAGAAGCAGCTCAGTGGAACGGCTCATTACAGGCCATGAGATATAAAACTTGCAGCTGAATATATGAAGTGCATGAGGACTGACTTAAAGGACTTTGGTTTAAGAGCTATTTAGAGAGATAGATAGATGCTGCGGATAAGGCTGAAAACACAGTAACCTAATATGGTTGTTCTGGCCAAAGTGTTGGCACGCAATTGCTTATTTACACATCCGGCAGACATATAACAGTATTATCACTCTTTTGGGGATGGTGTTTCTGACTATTTGATGAATGTAAGTGCAAACCCCCTCTAGTTTAGCTGTTTTCCTCTCTACCAACTTCTGAAGGGGAGAGAAACGTATGTCCTTGCTCTAGTTCTAGTACACCTTTTCATTTACTATTAAAAATAATAAAAACCAGGGCGCCCCTATAGCTCACCTAGCTGAGCAGGTGAGCCATAAACAGGGGCTATAGTTCCCCAATGCAACGGTTGTGGGTTCGACTCCTGCTCCTTTGCTGCAGGTCTCTCCCCATTCTTCTCCCACCTTTCCTGTCCATCTCTACTGCTCTAAAATGAGAGCAAAAAGCCCACAAAATATATTAATAAAAAAAATAATAATAAAACCACTACAAAAAAAATATATGTATTAGAGCAGCGAGTAGAACCACAACAGTAACGTTGCAGGCTGGAAAACTGAAACAAAAAGCTAAAAGATGACAGAATTTTCGGTAAAATAAAATTAATAGTGCAACCTATCACTAAGATGTCAATTTGTAAAACAGATCCTAATTAAATATGATTTTTAGTTTAACATTTACACTAGAAAACAAAATGAAAATTATATATTTCATGTTTTCAGTTGAACCTCAGTTTTTGAAGAAGCAAAAGATTGATGCATAATAATCCAAAGTGGTATTTATGTTGTATGAATTAATCACATGCAAAGTCAACAATAAAAGTTAACAAAGTTTATTACATGTTTATATACAAACAACCCTGCAAGGCACACCTTTTGTTTAAATAAGAATATACAACACATTTTATTCTTGAAACAATCAACTTTTAGTTGTGAAATATATATTAATACAAGTCTGTTTAGTGTTGGACAGAGAAAGAAGGCCCCAAATTGTAGATGTTCATTCAACACAAACAACAAAAAAAAAGTAAATGATTGAACACTTGATGTAAACAACTTAACATCTTTCATATAATATTTAAGCTAACATATTTTAATGTCGGGGGAGGTTGATGATGCCTTTTTGTCCTCTCTGCTGACTAAATGATGAAGTACAGACAAAACACTGTACTGTGAAGTAGGTTTATTTAAGAGTCGAACTCCAAATCCATACAGAAGAACTAGCTTCGATGAACAGACTCTTTGAGCTAACAATAAACCTTAATGTGAAAACCTTTGTTGGTAAAAACACAAGAGCATTTCATCTATTTTTTTTGGTTAAACTAAAATATTTTTTAAAAGGCTCTTATAATATACTCTGTTATTCACTTTGTTAGGCCACAGGTTTTTAAGTATGTTTAAAACATGGGAACAGGAGAGACAGAGGGAGATAAAAATGAGTTGTTCAGCTGCAATAAAAAATATATCTGAGTTGGCATTTGGAAATGCTTCTTACATACAAAAAATTCAGGGTAAAGGCAACTTAACCGTCCACATAAACAACATATGGTTATAGTTGTATTCTGTACATTGTTCAGTACAGACTATAGATCATGTAGTGATCAGTCATGTCATCCTGTCACTCCACCGAAGCTGCCTTTATTAAAAGTATTTGTCCAACATCAATCAGGACATTTGTGGAAAAAAAACTTTTGTTGACTGCTCACAGCACATAAAGCAGAGATTGAAAGATGAAAGGATGCTCATGACAAAAGCCTGTCATGACTCATGAAATAACACTAAACAATGGGACAAAAAAAATGTTTGGGACTTCAAGCTTAGAAACATTAAGATACAGGCTGTCATTTTCAGACAGTTTGCCATCATAAAGTGTCATGACCTACTGTGACAGATCTGACAGATCCCTTAAGTGGCTACTGACTTGCGCCTTTTCTAAAACCTCTTTTTTTTTTTTACCTCACAACTACAAGTTCAAAAAATGTCCATCATTGCTGCGATTTTCTCTCCATTCCACTAGAAAGACCAGGGGGGGTGCCTGACCAGAGATGATAATATTATAGGCCGAGGAAGGCTGAAAAGAAAAGGCCAGTCAGCATCATTTCCTGGGCCCCATCGTCTGGAATTTCAGAGTCTTCTGGGCTGTATGTTTTAACTCAATTTTCCTATTGTGGTGTTCTGGATAGTTGGCCATTATCATGCCAGGAGGCCAAGTCGCTTCACCTTCGCAGACAGGAAAGAGTGGATGATGAAGACTATGGTCTTAGGGCAGCAATGGAGGTCCAGTTGCTGAAAAAAAGAGAGTGAAACAAGGGAGTGGAAAAGGTGAGACAGGAAATAAATCACAAAAAATAACATTTTTTAACATGTATAAAATATACAGAACAACAAATTCAATACTCAGTCGACAACCAGAGACATTTTAAGGGTAATGGCACCAGAATTAATGTTTTGCTGCAGCCAGAGAATTTGGATTCACTGAACATTCAAATTCATCACCTGTTTTATCATCATAGCTGCATCTCAAGCACATACTTATTTGACACGGAGGTGGCTCAAATGTCGACTTAGATGGAGATTGGTTAGAACTGACCATCTTCATGACAAATGAGCCAATTGGTTGAGAGCATGAGGTAAACAGTAAGAAGATCACATGTTAAGGTACAAGGGTGCAAGGTGCTGCAAGGCGGCGCAGGTGGTAGCACCATCGCCTCGCAGCAAGAAGGTTGCCGGTTTGCGTCCCGGTGGGGACACCAGGATTTTTCTGCGTGGAGTTTGCATGTTCTCTCCATGTAGCGTGGGTTCTCTCCGGGTTCTCTGGCTTCCTCCCACACAGTCCAAAAACATGTTGAGGTTAATTGGTGATTCTAAATTGTCCGTAGGTGTGAATGAATGTAGCCCTAAGTGTAGCCCTGTGGTAGACTGGCGACCTGTCCAGGGTGTCCCCTGCCTTCACCCTAAGTCAGTTGGGATAGGATCCAGGCCCCCCACGACCCTGGTGAGGATTAAGTGGTGTATAGATAATGGATGGATGGATGGATGGATGGATGGATGGATGGATGTTAAGATGACTTTATTTAACAAGATACTAAAGGCATTGTGACCACATCTCAGAATACAGACATTTCCCATTAACTGCTTGCTGGTACAGAAAAATTTTATTTTAAATAACTTAATGTCTCTTAACTCTCATATTTGATCTATAAAGCTCACATTTATGTTGATAATGGCTTAACTGTACTGTAACTAAAATGTATAACTTACAATCTCAGCCTCGGGGCCTCCAAAGTCAAGAAACATCATACGGACTCCATCGTCTGAGGACATTCTGAGGCGCTCAAAGGGTTGCTGGAGCAGAATGCTTTTCCTGACCCCCATTTCTTCTGTGAATAATGTGAAGCCCTCATCGATGTGCACTCCCAGGGTGCACTCTTTCCCATTCCAACTGCAAGCTGCCAGGGTAGAAAAAACAAGCATTACAGAGCCTAATTAAAGTCATTTTGAATACATTTTGATTCTTGGTTCTTATTTTGTTGTGAGTTTTATGCTGAATGTTGTCTTCTATGAATGGGATTCTTTAATGCTTTGAAAGGATACAGTATGATTAAAATAATTCATATTGTTACGATAACAGAATAATTTGAAATCTTAGTTAAACTGAGCTCTCATCCTCATAAACCTGTCATAAATGTGACACCAATATCTAAATTCAAAATACTATTTCCAGTTTATGCCTTAAAGTGTTTGTACCACCTCATGCTGCCAGCAGAGGGCGTTACGACATTACCACACTGCACTGTATGTGGAGTGGTACCTGACTCATTAACTAGGACTCCCGCATGCAGAAAATGCATCCAGGGTTTAGGTACAAAGAGCTGTTGGGGGTTTTATTCAGCACATATATGAACAAAGACAACATACATACAGCTGTAATTGAGAAGAACAATGTTTTGTCTCTTCTCAATCTCTTCATAAGAATTTATGACAAAAAAAAAGCTTTCATTTTTAAAAACCCAATTCAAATCTTTTGTAAAAATACAACCAGAAGAAATCTGCAGAGATTAAGGACATTCTGCAGAGAACTACACTCCTCAAAATCACTGTGTAAAGAACAATAAATCATACTAATCCTGCTGTGTGAGATAGGCCCCTATTTTGGACTGAAATGTTTGTGAGTTTCTGTTGAATAGAAGCACATCTTGTGCCCGAGCAGGAATTGTTTGGGTGAAATAGATTCGAGGTATATTCATAGACATGATTGAAGTGTTTGATACAATCAGCTATTCTGACTCTTAGCAGATTGAAAAATAGGCATGTTGTACTGAGTTACTCCTAAAACCAACTTTGACGGCATCAAAAACACAACAAATTAGATAGATATTTAGATTATCGATTGTACTACCAGTTGATAGTGAAAGAAAGATGAGTCTATGTTACCTTTTCTTGGTGTTATAAAGGTTATTTCTTTTTTAAATATGATTGTAATTTCTGTTAGTAATCACAAACTGCCAGCAGAGGCAGACACTTGTGCTAGCATCACAGATGCCTCAGCAAAATTAATTCTTATGTACTAAAGTATACAACTGACATACCCATCATCATGTGGCAGCTAACATGTAGGGGACATGTAGTTCAGGAAACTCTGCTCCCTCGAGCAAAGATAAGCAACACTTAGAGACAACCAAATGATTCTAATTCATTTGATTCTATGACAGTTGAGAGAAAAATCTGAATGTTCTACTCCAAGGTACAGAAACTGTGCAGCAAGCATGAGGTCAAAGTGTCTCTCTACCCGTGGTGACCTCCTTGATGAGCTCAGCAGCATTGTGGCAACCCTCCACCAGCAGATGAGTCCAGGTGGACAGCTCCTTAGCAGAGTCCACCCTGAACACATGAGTCTCCACGCCCTGCTTGGTGCCTGAACGCAGGCCAAAGGACAGCTCCGAGTCTAGGAGAGGGGAACTTTTTCCTGGGCCAGAGTGGACCAATCTGGAGGGGAGAATGGGGGAGAGAAAGCATGAGGAGTACATAGATAAGAAAGATAATTAAGATTAATAGACAAAGAATGCAGCCAGAAAAGCAAATTATGATACAGAGAAACTGCTACTGAGGTGGAAAGTGAGATGTGGAATATGCAGGAGAGAGAAAGGAAGAAAAACACATGACTCATAGATTCTTTTACCACTATTTTTTTTCCAATTGACTATGATGTTATGTGGCAAAATGTCCAATAGTCCAGTTATGGAAAGAGTGACTATGTGCTCTTTGACTGGGCCAAAACAAGCCAGGAAAATAAACGTTAGCTCCAAACTGGGGGGAGGATGGATCTGTTCAGCTTATGAAACACGATAAGTTTGCGTTATGTTATGGGAGTGTGTTTATATAAAAAGGAAGAGAAAGACAGAAAGGAAGAGAAAAACAAGAACATCATATGGAGTGTGTGGTGTTTGTGTATATATGTGGGCATTTGTGCATGCGAACCTTGTGGTGATGAGTGGGTGACTCTTGGTGGGGCTGCTGATGCTCTCTTTGCTTTCAGGCAAAGACGGATACAGGAGCAGGTCTCTGTCAGTCAGCACAGCCAGTACAGGTTTCTCTGGGCCCTGGGAAACCTGCAAGTATGGACATTTATATCAAAGTCTAAGAAATCCCTTATATCTTCTGTTAAGATGTGGGTCAGTTTCACTGTTTCCACTTTTGAGTTTGCTAAAATACTATTTACTTTCTTTTTCTCTTTGTGAAATTCTTGGGCATTTCTGTGTTTAGAGTCATGGCTTCTGGTGTTAAATGTGGAAACTTCCATGCATTAAGGAATGTCTTAAATGTATTTGTTTTTACAGTGATGATGGTTGTTTTCATGTACATGGCTAGTTGTGCAAACACGCAAAAATGTGTTTGTTGTTACAAAATGACTTTCTTCCTGGTTTTCTTTCTCATCTGTTTACAGGCTCTGATTGGCCTGTTGGGTTTAAAATAAGCTGTCCCACACTGTGGGCTCATCCAAAAAAATGTAATTAACACATACAACATTTTTCCAAGTGCCCACGTCTGTTATCGATACTGGAAAAAAAACATAGGAGATCTACATACTACAGATTTTACTACTACTTTTTACATTTGTTTCCGTACATGTCTTCTCACTGTAAACACAGCCTACAGTTCAATTTAGTTTAGCCAAAAAGTACCAACATTTTGTCACGTGACTGTTCGTTGTAGGTCAATCACTCTGGCTGACAGGTTGCACCAAGCAGCACAGAAATTGAAACATTTTTAAACAAGAGATGTGGAATGAAGTGATATTAATATATCCCTGGGACAAAACCAACAAAACCAAAAGTCACATATTAGTTGAAGGGAAATCAAAAAGTTGAAAATCCATCGATATCAATTTTGAGATTTTTGTGTTACTCTATGGATTTTAGAGCACAAATTTAATGTTCAACAGAGTGGAAAACTATCTTAGCAAGACCTAATACAGGCACAAAAGCATGTAACAGAAGGGCAAATAAGAGCATCATCAAAGCATTAAAAATAGTGTTACAACAAAGGCAACTAGAGCACTAATAATAGCATTATACTAGTATAATACTAGTAATGCAGTTTTTACAAAGCGCATTTGCATTCTCCCATACCTGTTCTGTAATCCAGCCCAGATGTTTGACCTCCATGCCAGGCTGCATGCTCTTCAGCTCCTCCTTGACTCGTGGTAAAAGGTTGGCAGTGCCAGCCTGGATGGCATTGTACCAAGACTGGGCCATGGCAGGGTCTTTTGCTCGCAGGAACACAGAGTTCTTTCTGTTGGATGAAACCACCTCGAAATACCTGGCAAATGAGATGAGAAAAAAGTGAGAGAGAAGCAAGACGGAGATGGAAAAAAGGTTGGAGTTAGAGAACTTAAACACAATTGGCAAAGAGAGTAGAGCTTGAGGGGGAAGAGTGAGTTTCAGATATTAAAGAGAATATGTGAGTAAGACACGATAAGATGTTCCTTTTATAATCTTTCTCAGCTATTCTGCTATTTTCAGACCGGCGTCAGATTCTTTTTTTCCCAGAGAAATGTATGAACGGAATCAAATTCGTATAAAGCAGCAAACATTTAACATGTAGTACCTGTGTTCTGTGTCTGGGGGGCACTGTTTTCGTGACACCTGGCACATCTTCAGGGGGATGCTGCGGGGCTCCTTCACCTCAGGAGAGGAGAATTCAGGGCCCCTCTGAGGTGTCGAAGGGGGAGACTCCCACGGGAGGCCTGCTCCAGGGGACCCGGAGCTTTTAAAGAAGGCAGACATCTCCTTGATGTACTTCACTGAAGCAGAGCGAGAGTGGGTGAGAGAGTGAATTAGATAAGAGAGAAGGCAGATGAAGTACCAAAGGACAAAGGAGGGTGAGAAAAGAAATTTGTGAAAATGGAGCCTCCAGGTTTGGAGATGGGTTGCAAATTGTAGCATTTAGGAAATGCTTCAAAATGCTGCAGAAATCCATCTATAAAGAATCTGTCAACATATTCTTGGTTATTACATCCTATCTTGCTCTTTTGTTGGCAAAAAAAAGTCCTAATGTGGCAAATATAATCAGGCACATGAGGTATTCTTCTACCTTAAAATCATCTTAATGTTGTTTTTCTGTTGTACGTAGTTGATACTGGTGTGGATGGGCTTATCTTGAGTAACAGCTGGAGGCAGAAAGGGCATGTACTTTCTTCCAGATGTGCGCTAACACCGAGGCATGGGTGACAAAGCACAACTGGAGGAGTCAAATACTATCATCTTTTCTAACATCTTTTAAATTATTGATCTTAATAGTTTTGTTGTTGTTGTTGTTGTTTTTTTTTTTTATGTACTTTTATCTTGTGTTTTGTGTTTCACATCTACAATCAATTGCCCTTTTGGGGCAGATACAGTAATTCCTTGATCAAATATGATTAATTCACGCCAATAATGACTACTAGTTAGTAGCAGTACTGGTGTTGTCATGCAAATTTGAGTCAGTGCAGTTATTATGACTATCACTTCTAGCTGGCCTGCAAGCTGACTTAATTACACACACACACAAAAAAAAGAAAAAAAGTTGAGTCTGTACATTCACAATACATATAACAGGAGAGTCTGCAACTACACTGGACATTCCCAAAAAATGGTGTAAATACAATACTTCAATGATAAGATGCATTTTTCAGTAGTCTAGCTACGCCATTTTCTCCATGTAATATATAAATATTTTATATTTCCATGTGCATATTATTAGAGCCTCTTTGACTTTCAGAAATAAAAAAATATAAATGGGTACATCTGCATTTGTTTTTTGTCTTCCCACGCAACTATATATCATAGCTAGGGAATCATTTTAAAAATGTAATATTCATATTTACAAAAGTATTGCTCAAGACAATTTTTTATACTCTTACTGACTATATTTAGTATCGAAGAGGAACCTGATTAGACAAAAGTACAGTCTTGTTGTTTTCCTATAGGGATACAAACTTTCAACAGTTTCTTTCACTGATATTCAGCAACATTAACTAGAAATAATCAATTAATAGATGAAATATAGAAACTGGATCTATTCCAGCAGCTATAGCTGCTCTCAGCTAACAGACACTCAGCTCCCAGCTTGTGCTACAAACTCTTAGTTTAACATTAGCCTCAGGTAGTTCGTGAAACTGAACAGCTGCCACACATCTTTTTCACAATATTCCTGCCTGAATTGGAATCAGGGAAGCTGTGGCCTGTGGTCAGCATCCTAAGCCTGAAGCTTCAGGGGTGCTCCATGATTACATGTTTGTTTGCTGGATATAATCAAGTGTTATCAAATTGTGATTATATCTTATTCTGTGCACGTCTCTTTAAATGCAGTTTTACCACTCGTGAACACGTACATACACCTACACACCACCACCACAGATGGAAACACATGGCCTCAGCACCAGTCCAGTAGGCTGTGGTATGGGTTTAGCAGAAGTAGCCACAGCGAGAGTAAAAATAGCTCGGAGGACATGGCCAGGCAGGAGGCTGAAGGCACAGCTCTGGTTTCACTGGGAAGTGTGAAGTGCTCTACTTGCACAGTACAAGAGGCATGCAGCCAGAGGGCAAGCACAGGAGTCACAGCACAGGACAACAGGAGTGAGAGAGGGGGGCTTCCACCAATCCCTAAATAGAGGCCCTGCCAGCCAGTCAGCCAGTCAGCCATGCAATTATTTTGTTAGAACATCGAGCAGTGAATCAGTGGGATGGTTCCCTCTGTTTTGTGGGTTTATGTCACTGCAAACAGCGCACCAGTAATTCGTCTAATGTCATTATCCATCAGGAGGTGGCATTGTGTCTCAGAGATTAGTCAAAGGGTCAAGAGTTGTACAAAGATCCCTCTGAAATGAGAAGAAACACTGAGTACCTCAAACACCTACCTATGCACTCTCTGTGGACACAGCTTGCTTTATGTCAATTTAAGTAATGGCTTTCAGTTTTCACACGTAGGTCTCTGTTGTGGAAAAGTGTCATGTTGACTCTTCCAAAGGACGTGACCGCTGCAAATGAAACGCTCACACAGCTGGCAACTGGCATGTGAGAACAGCCATCGCACAAAGTTATGTATGATAAGCAAGGCGAGAGATTGTTCACTTGTTATCTCGCCCTTGGTACAGAGAGACAGCGGTTATCACATTTCAGTGTCGGACCAAGTCATCTCTAGCGGTTCTTATAAAAGTAATGTATTATGTTTGGTTCGCGAGAATCTTTTCTCAGTCTAATCTGCCGAGCAAAATGCTTCGCACAAGTAACTGCATTTATCCACATGTGAGCTGTGTACAAAAATGTTGTAGAAATTACCACTGCAACATGTGTGGAAAAAAAACGGACTGGGGATTTTTTCCAACATGATGCCATACGCGTTCAAGGATTACAGTGCATGTCTGAAGGGGGCTTAAGTTGCTGCAGCAAAGGGCATGACCTAAATGCTGAAAACTATGAACATACAGTAACTCCTCTGAGTCAGCACAATGGTCTTTGAGTCTGCACCTCTTTTTTTGAAAATGTAGCCTTTTTCAAATATGATGTCCTAAATCTCTAATCTGTCTACACTTTCTGTTTCTCTCTCTTCAGAGATGAGGTCAGTTCCTCCTCAGTTTGATTTTGGAAGCAAACTGTTTCAATATCTGAAAGCTAAAAAAAATATTACCATTAAAGATTTTCCTCTGAAATCTATAAAAATTATTACAGACAATGAGTCCTTTTCTTGACTTTGGATTAAGGCTACTAAAAATACCCACCTCACACACCTTTTCTCCCTGTCTCTCACTCTGTTTCTCTCTGGGCTGATTTAACAGCAGTTTCCTGGGACACACAATTTCTGGATTTAAATAAAAACTTTCCTCACACACTCACATGGGCAAGTACACATGCAGACATACATAAAAAAGCTCTCAAGGTAATACATTATGTCTCTACTGTTAGCCACAAAGCAGACTGTAAACACGTACTCAGACTTGTCCCCGTTTCTAAACTTTTTTTTAAAACTTGTACTTTGACTGCTCCTGATTGAAATCATGCAAACAAAATGCTGTTTGTGTTGGATGGAGAGGAACGGGATTTGCACAAGACCAATGCTAGCCAACTTCAGGTATCAGCACTAGTATTTAAAATGTTACCCAACTCCATAGATAGCCCAGTGAACTGTTTTTATTTTGTTTGTTTGTTATGTTGTTGTTGTTGTGCACCCCCATAATGTTACGTTTTGTGCATCTCTGTAAACTTCTCACCTCCCATGACCCTAATAAAACTGAAAGGTGTACAAAAATGTATTTCTCCATTTTCTACAGGGGAATTTTTCTCGTTTACTTGCCTCATTTACTCACACACATGCATAGGAAAAGTGCATTTGTAGACAAAACCAGACGTACTGGGAATGTGTACACCCAGAACGCGTATCAAGCAGTGAGCAACCAAAATGTACCAGCTTTGAAGTAGCTGTCAACTTGCATACGCAATGTTTCATGGAAATGAGCTTCTGTCCATTTGTTCCTGTGCCAACCCACTGATGTTTGTACCACGGGGTAGCCAACAGCTTCCGTGTTGCTGGACTAAGGCCATTCAAAATTGATGTGGTCAATCTCAATATGGCCGGCTAGGCCACGAGAATACAGATGGAAATGGGATTGGCTACATTATTGTTTCAAGTGTAAGCCACCATAGAAGGTCTGTTGAACCCTGCAACTATACTAAGAGCTGCAAGACTTTTCAATCAAGTCTGTGGGTGGCAGCATAGTGCAGTCAAATAGATATAGACTGACACCACAGTGACAGTTATGTGATAAGGACATCTCAGTCATGCAACCCGTGCAACAATAATAATAACAACAAACAACAAAATTTTGCAGGAGAAAGTCCAGACAGAGAGCCCAGGCATGGCTGAGGTGCTGATATCTGGCATATAAACAGATTTCTATTCTCAGGAGTCATTAGTCTTTATTATGAAAGGCTGAGATTATGTCTCTGTTTCATGCAGCACAAATGGCACAACAGAAGAGACTGGGAGAAAACAGCAACCATAGCAGGTATAAGGAGATGTTTACTCCTGTAAAGAGGCTTTACCATTCTCCAAAAAGGGATGTGGAAATGATCACATTGGTGTTTCCCAGATTAGAAATGTCAGGCATTAGCTGTGGCCCCACATGACAAATCGGACAAGATAGCTTTCAAACAGAGTGGTGTATTAAAAGGGGGG